TCATAATGATGTTTGTCACGCTTTGAGTGTCTCATGAAACACAAGAACATAGTAAATCACATTACACTCACATACATGTACATATATAATTATAGTACATGTACATGTACTTCTTCAAAACCTTGATGAACCTATCCCTTATGGGTGCACATCCCAGAATCTAGCGTGACGAGAAACAAGCATGAGTCTGCTACATTGGGTTGGCTCTGGTCCTCTGGAGGGAGGCTATGACAAAGTTGGTATTATGATCTGACATGTGTCCCTACGGCAGGAGACGGGCTGGACGCCCAGCAATAGCATATCAGTGTCTTATCAGTGACCTACAGTGTCTGTCGCATGCACTGCTACTCGCCACAGAAAAGCTTACACTAATCGCATATTCTAGTTTCTACAGACTACTGCAGTCTGCGTGCGACCATGCTATACTTAGCACAGGAGTTGACGTAACAATCAGGTGCCTGATAACAGCTACATGTACATCGTAGTTTGCATCATGCAGTAACGGTTTTAACACCGATCCAATTATGGAGTAGATGAATGGCTGCAGACGACGGGGTAGCAACGAGAGGAGGCTGAGGAAGATCTGAAAACAGGAGACGGACGACATTTATTACGAGTGTAAATTCCATTTGAGCACATGCTCTCTCAATCGTACATGTATGTGTTGTCATGAATCGACGAAGCGACTCAGTCAGATATAATAATATCCAAATCGAGTTATCAAAGCATAATGGCCTTGCGGGCTACATACAATGTATACAATGGCATGTACTAGTAACAGTATGCGGCTGTGTCAGACTGCCTTGCATACACATACATGTAATAATTAGTGCTGCATCATGTGCACTCCACATACATGCAATTACAACGTAGTACAGTGAGTACAACAAGTACATGGAGTTGGTAGCATGACAATGCAGATAACGCCCTTAAAACCATGCTAGACACCAGTACGTATTTGTGGTCCACTTTCGCAACAATAACACGCACACAGAAGTCTCTGCTGTGAGCACGGTGCCGTCGGTGGCTCGGCAATGGCGTACCAATCCCAGGGACTGAATCGTAGGTATTTGCCGAGCGGATAATGAGATATGCAGTATAGCTATCTGGAACACTGTGAAAGGTACTTTTTCACTAGCTGATCAAAGCAAACCATTGTACTCAAGAACACTGTAAGCTTTGCTAACCAATCACTCTTTATGTCTTATACGGCCCGCCACATACGGCGCCTCCAGGCCTTTTACACGTACTCTCATCTTATGACGTGTTACTTAAACAGCTTCCTAATAGACCTAATGGTAAGATGTCCGTGATTAATCAGTTTGACACTAAGAAGAGGCTATCCTTTTGTGCTCTGAGATCTATTATGGCAGTTGTAACAAGTTTTGCGCGCATTTGCACCCGTGTCTATCACTATCTAATGATCTCACCGGACCATGTACTGAGAATGAATGTGCATGTGCGAGGCTTGCGATGTTCTGCCAATCATCCAACGATATGTTTATCATGTTTGTATCGTCATGTCACCATCACGGATATGATCCTATTGAACTATATCACACAACCTACTCCAACCTTTCTTGGTGCAGATAGTGGACAATGGTCTGTTACGAAAATAGTCACTCGCAGGCGGCAACCATGCGCTATCATATCTTTCCTGTCACAGGGTGCCATGGCATTTGGACAAAAGACATTTTGCACCGTTGCACACCGCTTTTGTTCTGCCATATTGCTTGCTGACATGTTGAAGTGAAGCGTAAGACACACACAGCATACATGTACATGTATACGCCCTAGAGCAGTAGAGGTGAGGCCGCTGGATAATGCCATTTCGCATGCTGCAGACAGGCTATAGCAACGATAACATTGCTCCTGATGCTGCTTTCACGACAGGTACATATACATGTGTGTCTCCGCCATTACATCTTCCAAACATTTCAGATTCCAAGGCAAGCTGGGGAGACGGGGTGAGCAGTCTGTACCAATCCAGAACGAAAGTGTGGTACACATGCGACTGGTGGGTAAGCTTCCTAAACCATCAACACTGACCGTTATCGTTACATCCGGGATCTACAGAATGTTCGCCACCCGCTAACAGCCGTTTAGTGCCCTGTGTCACCAAGGTCACAGTGAGACACATAGAGCTAGAGCAGTAGAGAGAGAGAGCAGTAGAGAGAGAGAGGGGCTTCCAGAAAGTGCGATGGTCATGATTCGACATAATGCGTGCATGCTACTACACGGTGCATGCATGATTCGGGAACAGAATATGCTGCTGACTCATGAACAGGCAAGCCACGGAGACGCTTAACTTAAGTGTGGACCAGATTTGGCCACCATGCAGTCAATACTGCACGATGAAGCTCTATAGTCTATAGTAAGGCTGCGCGTGCATGCGTCGCCCATACTTTGTCTCAAGTGCAGCGTTTCCTCGCGGTGTATTCCCGAACATGCCATAACAAGCAAAGGGTAATGTAGGCAGCATTTGGATCTACAGTACCTGATCTGGGTGCGACGGAATCTGCTGTGCCTGATTTCCAGCACTCCTTCAAGTGTTCTAACCCACTCGAAAATGGCACGACTCAACCGAATACACACACACACACATATGCACACACACACACACACACACACACACACACACACACACACACACACACACACACACACACACACACACATGCACGCAGGCTGGAGTCGTACACTTTCCTCCCAACTCAAGTAGCACCAATTATCTCCAACTCTGCCCGCAGGCTATGTCGCGAAAACGGTGCAAATGGGCTCATAATCCGTATATCATGTACTATACACGACAGTGCCAGGCCATACTAACGTTTCAGCCCGTTCGAGGTTGATCAAACTCTGATTAATCAGAGTGGATCAGGAACACACAGCGCCTATTCCCCACCAGAACAGTGACAAATCTTCCATGATCCAGAGGGGGACAGATGGGGTGCCAAGGTTAACGCTACGTGCAGTGAACATGGAGTGGAGATAGTGGAGCACGTTACATGTACAGTCATGTACATGACTGATTGTACATGTACGTCACTGTAAGTACAGTACAATGTACTACTAGTATCTGATCAGAAGCTTCATGCACACTGGTACATGTACATGTACGTACGGCATCACGATCTTCTCATGCCATCAGCAAGTAAAGTAGTTCACAGTGACCAGGGAGCCACATGCAACAGTGGCGAGTATTACAAGGAGTGATTAAAATATTTAGCAAGCTAAGACGCGGGCTGTTGTTATTCAAAATAATGATATTGGAGAAACGGAACGGGATTAATCAACGTGATTCAGGCCGGTCGCTGAAGCCACACTTGCATCCAGCCTCTGGTGTGTCACTCGACCCCATCAAGTGCGTGCAACCAACATTGCCATTGGTCTAGGCACGTCCATTGTTTGTGTGCCCAATCCTGTTCTCCACACGTACACCCTGACTGTACAGGCCCATGCCTGGCTATGCTCAGGTGCAGTGCACTCTTGCGAAAGGTACAATTGGCCCCATCACACGTCACAATCCTGTCAAACTCGTTCAACTAACTTAAAACACATGTGAGCTATTGTCCATGTATGATAAGCATTAGGACAAGCATTGCGCCTCACTTCAGCTTGTGAGCTATTGAGTATTGTCTATGCATGATAAGCATTACTAGGACAAGCATTGTGCTTCACTTCAGCTTGTCATGGGGTGGAAAGTGAACATGGGTGCTAAACGAGTCCTCTCACTTTCCATTCTTTGCTTGGACAGTAATAGGTGGCCAGCACCTTTCCTGGAATGATCATTCTGTCCTCCAGGGACCAGGGCTCCTTCTCACATGACACATTAAAGTAACGAACTTGATCGGTACTAGTAGTACTTGCAATCCAGCTGGTGGGTCACCGTATTCGTTTAGGAAGCCACTTTCAGGATTTCTTTAAACTTCAACCCACCGTCTCCCCCGGCATACATTGTACGCGAGTCATGACTACATTGTATGTGCAGTGGCGACACCTTCGACACGAACATTAGCACTGAATGTTATCCACATGCCCGAGGGAATCGCAAAGAGGAACGTCTGAAGGAAGAATCGCCCGTCTCTACCAAAAAGGAGAACAATAATCTCCTTGCCCTGCCACGGTCTATGTCCTGAGGAGGTAGACGACATTAGCAGATAGCCCTCCACATTCTACCGGTGTTGAATCTGCCCAGTCGTCGGAGTGACCTGTCACAGTGCAGCACAGCTAACCAGACGAAACGTTAGCACCACCTTGGGGCATTATTTCAGTAGTCCTCCCCGCGGTAGCCAGAGCTAATATAACATGCACATGAAGCTAACGTTACAGACCACTTGCTCATGCACAAGATTAGTCAGTTGGATTTAGACGCTCATGTCCATTGTAAATGGGCACGCATACAGCGACTGGTCACGCGGTGTGTGGCACAGGCTGTGTGGGACGCCATGGGTGGCTTGATGGAGTCATTAATTTGGTCTTCCCCGACAGTCCTCATGATATGCCGCACGGATGGATGGCTTGTGGATGTGGGGCATAAGTGCCTGACATGTCCGAGTTTCTGAAGTGCATTGGGTCTATTGTGTCAGGTAGGCATGGCTGAATGAGGGTGCTTTTTCCGCTGCAGAGGTTTTGTCATGTTCAAGCTGAGAGTGACAGGCTGAAGTGAAGTACAGCTGGGCTTATAATAATAAGATAATGGGAATATGAGGAACGGGGGTAGTGTCACATACATAATAGTATCCAGACGAGTCTGTCTGAGAAGCGACGATCCCTTTCATAGTTTAGCCAGAGGGCTTTTAGCCCTCCATTTGTCCGCCTTTTCCACTTCATATTGGATGGCGGAGTAAGGAAGCAAAGCTTGTCCAAGAAAATATGACCTGTTTACCATCATCCTCTCGAAGATTTCACCCCACGTCTGATATGCCTAAGAAGGCCTTGACATTGGCAAATATAATCGGTGGCAGGTCTTGTAGTCGACATCAGTTCTTGCTCCTACTCCGTGCTGTCAGGATAATTGAAATCTCATTTCGCATTCAATGCAAACAGAGGAACGTTATCTTATTAGGCCGTGTGATCTTACATGCAAAAGTAAGTTCCAAGCTCAAAATTAGGTTCAGCATATATCATATCCTCTATTGTGTGCCTTGCTGGCTATTGTTTCAACTGTTCCACATTTCAATTATGGTCGTGCGTTTGTGCGTGTTTCTGCGTAACCAGATACCAGCTCCTACTGCTGCGTTCACACGTTTTCCCAGTGCCACGCGAAGCCGCAAGGAGACCACGTATCCAAAGGTCCCGAAAAGGTACTTGAAGGTGCACCTAGCTATTGTTTTTGTGTATGATCGTCAATTTTCTAACACTACTACATAGTACATACATGTACATTGTACAAACAAGGCCGTGAATGCTGCTGTCTGATGATTGCTCCGATGCGTGAAACTTTAAGTTACAGCTAACACAGCCTTTCGCCTCTGTTGTGTGTGTACATTGTGCATTGTACATGTACGTATACTTGATTAGGTTTACTCTACGTGGCAGCAGTCCTGTTCAAGAGTGGTGATAGTATACTATTCATGGTTTAGCAGAACTTTAGCTCTAAAAGTCTAAATGTACTACATGTAGTACATTGGTATATACAGAAGCCTTGCTTGGTAGTTAACATGTTTTTCGATTTTGACCTTGTATTCATGCTGTCAAAATCGAAAAACATGTAGTACATTGTAGGTCATTTCTTGAAGTACATGCATGTGGACCCAAACAGTTCTTGATCCCATGCCGGTCAGAATCATTTGCTTCAAAGACAAGCTGGAAGAGCACGGATAGGAACAAAACAATAATTTAATCTACATGTCCATGTCCATGTACAGTACGTACGTTGTACATTGGCGGGGGGGGGGGGGGGGGGGGGGAGGAGAGGGGAGGAGAAGATTGACGGTCATAAGATGTCCGTGGGATATGTCAAGTGGACGTGGAAATGTAACACGTCATCAAAAATAGTATATTAAAGCGATTGACTGAAGTTTTACTCGACTTGAATATCCGGAGAGTCGTCCTGTTATGTAAACCTTTACCTTGTAAAATTCGCACGTACATGTACATGTACAATCATGTACATGTGCGCGTGTGTGTCACACTCCTGTGTCGTATCACTGCCGTCAGTATTGTCACAAGAGATTTTCACCCTGGCCTGTTGATGTGACGTGTGTACACGTATTAGATCAGTGGCCGGTGAAGGTCACCATTGGCATTACGAGAATGAACTTGTACTACATGTATGGCATATTCTCAAAATTTAATGCATTATACTAGTGAAAGTGGTCATTGACTTCAAGTAGTTAGTTCCTTCTCATGGGCCATGGCTGCGCTCAGTGCGCTGGTCGTGTTCAGTAAGTGGCACGTGACAAACTCTCCGACCTGTACTGGAGTAGGTTGTTTAGGTCCCGGACTGAACTGTACAAAGAGTCTTTCACAAGCCAACCATTACTTGGCATTAGGGAACAAAATGAAGCGTGTGGGGTACCGGTGTGTACCTGCACTCAGCTCGAGCGCAGAACGAAACAGCAGTAAGAATGTGGCCGGGATGGGTATTGGAAACGGAAACACAACGACCATCAAGTGGTTTTCTTTCCTCTGACTGAAGGTATCCTGTACGATCATCTTCGTACATCTCTTTCTAGCCCACTTGCTTTATTGTACGTGCATGGTATGCCTACACGCATGCATGTACACTACTCACTAGGATGGTCACCGCTTTCACGACAAGACTGTTGGATGTAGTACATGTAATGCTTCTGAGCTGGAATACCATACAGTATTCGGTCTCGACCAGCCATGAGTATTATGCAGTTCCTGTCGTGCTCATATCGTGTTCACCTCGTGGCTCGCAAAGCGCCAGGAGTGCATGTATGCGCGAGGCGCTTTCACGTCGTCCACTATAACGCTACTTGGTCTGGTCAACATCATGTGAGTGAGCGAACGAAGTGTGGAGACTTGTTTCCTTTCTTCTGCAAGGATGGAGACAACATTGCCTGTAGGTTTCACGATCGTGAGGACTTCGGCTCGTAGGCCGGTCGTTCAACGGTCATGCATGTAGTGCGCAGTCGCATTCCATTTCAGCGCATTACAACGGAGGAAACAACATCGTGAGGCGTCGTTAATTAAGTGGCTGCGCCGGTATGATCGATGCAATGTTTATGAATATGAATGCAAAATGGTAGAGGAGACTAAATACATGTACACATGAAAAGCGACCTAATCAATTGGATGGGGAGAATAAAATAGTTCTACCGTTGATGGAGTCACTGATAACAAAAATCGAGTTTATTGGTAAAGCGTCCAATGGGTGTTATCCGAGCTTTTCTGGTGAAATATCACTAAGCTCTGACCGAAGCGCCGAATGCCACCTGCCTGGTGCGGGGGCGTCTTCAAGAGTACATTATACTCAGGACGGTAGGAATTCTGGAATCTATACAAGTTGTTAGTGCAACTCTCTTTCATGACTACGGGCATATGATGGAACTCCCTCCCAACGAGTAACGGTAATGGAGCCTGGGTCACCGCATGTGTACTGTGGTAGAAGCATCTGGAACGCGCCTGTAAAAGGCAGTCCAGAGCAAGGAGGTTGTCCACATTTCTCCTGTACTCTCTAAGCCTTTGAAATCGTCTCCACTGTGGGTTATTAGAAACTTAACCATGATCATCACTAGCCTCTTCATGAGAAATAAATGGAGGGGGGTAAGAATGCACTGTTCCTACGTAAAATGGTGAGGATATCTTCAAAGAGAAGTGGTCAAAGCTGACAGGTCAGTGAGAGGCGTGTGTATGATCCGATGCCATCAGGTTTGGAAATGGCGCGTGCACGCCAGGAGTGCGGTGGGTCGATGCGAATATTATGGACGCCATATCCTGCTCGCAGACCAAGCGATAATTATACCTGCACATGCAACAGTATTTGTAGTCTGAACTTGAGTGTGAGGCTGGGGATCGTGCGAAGACGCGATAGCAAGTAAGTTACATAATATAGATGTGAGGTGTTGGATAATAATATTATGATGGATATGTTCTACAACAGGCTTTATTAGGTGCATTCCTGCTAGCAGCAGTTTTCTTTGTTTTGCAAACGTTTTCCATGCTGACACGACCGAGGAATGTGCCTCCGGTGTGATGTTACGCAGTCCTTTCTATGCTGCCCGGTTAAAATGACTGAGTTCTAAAATACAATCCAGTTGTTGGTGATTACCGGTATACATGTATTTACTTGTTGCGCACTCGACAGAGTATACAAGAGTACACTGTAGTCACAGAAACGGGTAGTGTAGCGTGAACGAATATGAGTTTATCGCACGCTTACGCCAGCAATGAACTCTGCAATTTTCACCATGATAAGAAGGTACACAGCGGCCCCACAGCGCCACATGAAGTTCTATGTTTGTGTGCGGCGAGCAACGGAAATCCGCGCTGTGTTTCAGTTTCGGCAACCGACTTCCACTGCTCTGACGAGAAAATTATAAATATCATGGGCGAGTGGAAAGTGCACGGCACTCTCTCCTGGACGGCTCCATACAGAGCGAGAAAAGGGCGGAAATCTGCGCTGGCGGGTACGACATTGCGCGTGAAGTTCGGGAGTGTAAGACCTGGGTTTGCTCCTTACCAATAAATAATAGCATTCCTATCGCAAAGTAATGGATAAATCAAAGAGCCTGATGCCGCTGTAGCGCATAGCGACAAAGACAAAGGCTTGCATAACAACAGCCACTGCAGCACAGCACTGAACGAATGGGCTGCGACTACTTGTGCCATCATCTACTTGATTTCGTCACATTGTGAAAGAAGGGCTTTAGTAGTACGTATTCAGGGGCTGGCCTGCGAGCTGTAGCACTTCATCAGTGCATGCAGTGAAGTGATGATGGATAGCGACACCACAGTCACAGGTGCTCCAGCCACATTCCATTCAGGCACGACTTTTGCCATGAAGACATACTCACGACACACGCCAAGTACGAGTGGTGAAGATATTGCACTGTTGCTTCCCCAGCACAAAGACTACTTGCAGAACAGTTACTGCGTGATAGAGCCCAAGAGGTCAAGCTGGGGCACTTATGCCACTACGCCAAGCGTGGTAGATCAGCCGAGACCTTGGGGCACCGCGTAAGACATCTCTCACAAGCATACACTGTCCGCACGCCCTCTTACTTAGTCTTAGTCCTAGTCCATCAGTCTTAGCCCAGTCGTACAGGCGAAGCATGGCTATGACTAATTATGAGGATACCTGCGCGTATTCCATTCATATCATCTGCCGGCTCCGGTGGTAAATCGAACCCATGCGAACCCTTTTCCAATACCGACTTTGCAAGACGCGCCAAGGAGCCATTTTCCGTTGGATAACTGCACCCACCGTTCATATCTTGCCGAGACAAGGACATGACTACATGAAAAAAAACCTTGTTGATTGGATTTTCTACAGTTGCGATTGTCCGTTTGTCATAATCTTGACTTTCAAGCAGACATATTGTTAACACCTGTGGCGTTACAAGTAGAATCCTTTTGTGTCTCCAGTAAATAATCTGCGGAGCAGTCCCTGTGGGACTGGGGCGCGAAGTAAGTTCCTCCTCCGAACCTCTGCTTATTGGTCCCTGATTAGCCCTTTACCTGACCTGATACGAAACTATTTTTTTAGTTGTTCTTCCTTGTGCGCGTTTCGCGCGCACGCTGGATCTCCATTGAACATGATTGTGGAACATGGACGACGAACAAAGTGTACACTTAGGTTACACACGAGAAAACGAATGCGCACAAACTCTTCCTGATAGACGATGTACGATTTGTTCTCCATTTTCCTGTGCGTGTTTTTGATCTGCTGCAGTGCGATATGACAAGTGCGAATACGCCAGGAAGTGCATCATCAGTTTTCAAAGGCTTGGAATTGGCAACGGCGGTAACAGCGACTGTGAGCCACAGAAACAGCAGCAGCAGCAGCAGCAGCAACAACAGGGTTACAAGTGCACAGGTCTCGCCATCAGCGGACAACAACGCTACTGTGATGTCCCCAGCTGCAGCGTTTCAGTCAAATAATCAGCGTGCGACAGGTTACAGCATGGAAAAGTTCGAGACAGAAGATAAGACCACCCTCTTTCGACCATGGGACGAGAAGGTCGCAACAAAAGCGACGATAGCACCGAAGAAAAATCCCGCTGAACGGCGTCGTCGTAGTTCGAGCAAAGACAGCAAAGAAGTAACTCAGCAGCGGTCCCACAACCACAGCGATGAAGTACACAGCATCCTCTACAAGTGGCTTCGCGACAACCTTGTTGTAAGATGACGATATCAACTCTACAGGCACATTTTCTTTTCTTCTATTATCAACTTCGTAACCTATGTGTGATATCGGCTAATAGAGAGATCCTTCCAGGGGACTCTAAACCACCATTTCCGGAGCCCGCCGAGGTTGTTTGCAGAACAATTGGGGAATTTATAATAGGATGAAAGTCCAAGTGAACTAGTCTGTAGTTTCAATTGTCAATGAACAAGACAACACACTAGCCATCTTGTAACTTTCGAAAGTCTATCTCTCACATCAACTAACCAGAATTTCCCAGAAACAGATTTTTTCCGTTTGCATCTTTCCCCCCAAACCGATGAACAGATGAAAGTGGTAGCTACAGGCTTTCCTCATTCACACCGGAAGGAAAAATGGACAGCTTCAATGCTTGAACAGCCTTTTCCTGTCCTGATCTGACCTGCAGACAATGAATCCATGATACTAGTATACAGAAACACTACTCTGCGTATTCTGAGACTAAACCAACCTGCGCTCTCTTCAGCACCATCCTTTACGCTTTTATTCCCCAGTGAGTCCATTGCTATTACTATTAGACCTTATGCCTGTTTTGATGTCAACTTTAATAAAGTATACAACAACAACAACAAACACATTGCGTTTGGATGTGCTTCTCCAGAAACCCTATCCAACCATTGCAGAAAAGAAGCGACTGGCTGCCAAGACAAAGCTCCGATATCGACAGGTTTCTTACTGGTAAGGAATGGCATACTTGGCTTCTTGTGTACTGAGTTCCACGTGTCTGCAAGCAGATCCTAGCATTACCATCATCTCCTTGAATTGTGTATTGCCAGGAAATCCCAAACAATCTTGTTTTGAAAGGGCTTTTATGTCAAAACAATTGGCTAAATTGCACCTATTGTCGTTGTGATGATTGGCCACTCTTCGGCTACTTTGCCACTGTGTTGGTCGCTAACGTTGACATAGACACAGACACAGATGCTCTCTCTCTTCTCTCTCTCTCTCTCTCTCTCTCTCTCTCTCTCTCTCTCTCTCTCTCTCTCTCTCTCTCTCTCTCTCTCTCTCTCTCTCTCTCTCTCTCTCTCTCTCTCTCTCTCTCTCTCTCTCTCTCTCTCTATGTCTGTCTCTCTGTATGTCTCTCTGTATGTCTCTCTCTCTCTCTCACACACACACACACACACAGTCACACGCATACACACACACACAAACACACACACACACACACACACAAACACACACACCCAGAATATGTACTATTTTAAACGCTCAGGAAGAAGCAATCTGCTGCTGTCTGGTCACATCCTGTACATCGTGAGTTTCAAATTCTGCAATGTAATCGACTGACCGTGATTATTCTACTGGATGGTTTGTGTGAATTGTGACAGGTACACTAATGCCCGACGTCGTCTGGTGCCGAAAATGATTGAAGCAGAGAACAAGCGTAGAGCCGCCTGTGACCAACCTCCACTGAAGGTCGAAGCATTTACTATGAGCAACTGCACATCTTCCTCACCATGCTCCTCAGAGGAATCCGCTGATGCTAAGACCGACTATAGTACTTTTGCATCACCCACAGATATCCCCATGGAGACGGAGAATTCTCTCGCACCCAGATCTCTCATGCTCCCATCCCCTTGCAGTATTTCAGACAAAAGCGGCACGAGTAGATCTACAAGGAGTAGTTCACTGCCTGGCATTGCCTTCAGTCCGGTGGGAGCAATCAGTGCGTTGAGAGGAGCATTGCCACATGCACAGCCCGTTGCTTGGACAGGCGACAGGGCAGCTGAGCCCGCCAGTTCTCCCAGCCACAAGTCAACATCAGCTGCTGCTGCCTGTCATCCCTCCTCTTCTTGCCATTTGGAATCATCAGCAACAGCACGCATTTCCAAAGGTCAGTCAGGTGAAACATTTCTAAATTCCTTCTTTTACTGGGAATTTACACTAACAGCTTCCAAAGCCACCAGTCAAGGAAGTTATTATACTATGCAATTACCTACCTTGCTATGGATGGCCGCAAAGACAAGCAAGGTCGAGTAGTAGTAGTAATAGTTTTTATTGTTTATTGAACTCCCAACAGACCGAGCCTTTTTATGGCCAACCCGGCTAGGAAGTCCCAGGAACGAGTCTTGTCGGGGTTGGAACAAGTTTTTCGTTTTCTAACAGTTCACTTCCCTGATTGTTTACTTCGAAATTGAAGTTTCTTCCATGCCCGTTACCGTAATTATGCATATTCTGTAATTATTACGGTATGGGATGGATGGCAAAAGAGAAGTGAGTTGCATTTCACCAGTTTTTGCGGACCAGGCTGACTAGCCATGGGTGGACACTATGTCAGGCAGTTGCACGATAAGTCCATAGCTGAGTCATGAGATTTCAACGACAATTTCCTCGACCAAAATGGCTCTCTTCGGTGTCGGAGAACGTGCAAACAGCTGTAGTTTTCGTTTGCTTGTTTCTTTTGGGCTTTGCCACAGTCATAACCACATTCATTATTGGTCAAAAGCTGGCAATCTTCAGGAGAATTGAGACCACAAATTTACACTCCAATGATTACCTGACTGACTTATTTGACTGCAATTAAAGTGAAGCTAGGCAGCCATCGAAGAAGCGTTTTCCGAATGCTTTTCATTACGGCACTAACATTACGATCAGTAGGAAAAGAGCCATGGTGATGTAATGCTTAGCAGTATGAGGTCGCCGCATCAGTAGATCTCCATTGTGTTCACTGAGAGAAAAGGGAATTGAATGTTCTTTGATAAAAACTATTATTTTACTTGGCATCAGTATGTTCATGTCCCAGTACAGACAGTACAGACAGTGCAGCTTGTAGTAGAGTTGTACTTGGTGACCCAACACACAAGTATGAGAATAACTCATCCAGAGGAGCTGAGCAGTGAAGAGGCATGCGCTGGTCTAAACAAGACATTTCACCAGAACTCTGACGAATCCTCAAATTCAGATAATGACTGAGTACTCGACTTGTGCTCGTTTCACAATCGTATAAAAAATGTGACAGATCTCTACTGTCTCACCTGCATTGTGTGCCATGATTGTATGCATTGGAGACATGGTCATCGTATCAGCATTGTCATACACTACGAACAGACCAATGTCTCAGCGGATTCCATTGCGGGTCAGGTGGAGTTTGTATTCTCCTGCTAAATCCATTCATGTTATGGGTGCACAGTGTGACAGGAAGATGTAGCACCTGCTCTGCCATGGGCACACTGCTCCTGGACAATTGTTTCCACTGTTTCTTATGAATATTGAATATGTTTGGCGTCAATGTTTAAATTATATTTCTCGATAATTGATGACATTGTGATGCTATATTTGATGTGTCCTTCTTGTATTCAGGCGATAAAGGCGATCGTAAAGCCCAGCGCCCAGCAACCCTACTACCTAGTCACTACGTGACTGTACAACAGCAGCAGCAGACTAATGCCAGCCCACCATCTCACTCGGTTTCTAGCACCGCAACACCAGTGCACGCAGAGCAGCCCGCACCGCCTGTGCAGCCTGTACAACCGGTACCCAACATAACCATTGCTCCACCTGCTCCACCTGCTGCATCGGCAATGATTGTACAGGCACCCACAGTGAGCAATACAGCGATGTTTAGCCCGGCCACCGTGAGGATGCCGTTCCAAGTAGTGCACCAATTCCCAGCAGCACATCCAGCAGCAGTGGCAGCAGCAGCAGCGCCAATGTACAACGATCCTTCTACACTGTCGCTGGCCCAAGCATCCGGCTCAGTAAGGTTCCTTCCCAGCAGTCATGTGACCGTTCCGAGATTGCAGCCTCTCCATGTGATTAGCATGATCCCCACTGCCTCACCGATGCATATCCCAGCCAGCACGATACCATATCCGCCTCAGCATGCAATGCAACTGGCACCCGCACAGGCAGTACAAGCAGTTCAGCCAGCTCAGCAAGCAGCAGCAGCAGCAGTAGCACTACCACAACTGCAGCAGCAGCAGCAGCAGATCATGGTATTGCAATACACACCCACCACATCACCCAACCATCCGGACACTGCAGCGGCCGTATCTGCGGGCCATGGATCCACTGCGTCCACTGCCCAATCATCGCCACAGTATCCAGTTGTTACGAGTACCACACAGTATAGATCAGCTGACGGTCAGCTGTATCCCATTGCCATTGTGCCTGCTCCTCAGCAAGGTATCCCAGTCACCACCACCACACATGACACCTAACTTAAATACAACGTCCGCTCCAATACAGGCTTACAGCCCTGAATAAATTCAATGGAATAGGAGATGAGTTTTTTCGCCAGCAGTGAGCAATGTGCACTGAACACCAGCCGCAGACCGTCTACTTTACAATAGCCCTGTTGTTTGAAACACCATAGGTGTACTTTTAGGTTGTTTTGTGATCCTGAACAAACCGTCTTTTTCATGTCCTCGCATTTTTAAAGTGAACAATTTTGATCTAATGTGGAGTCCTGCACTTGTTGACAAGGCGCGGCACACATTGGTGTATGCTAATATAATATTCCAACGTCATCACTATTTGGCTGTGCAAGTTGGACTGAGTGCCATGCGCGGCGGGAGTGTAACTTACTGACATCTTGACAATAATATTGATAACTTCCTTCACCACTTTTTCACTACGGCTTTTTCACTACTTTTTCACTACTTTTTCTTGTTATTTCCTGTAATGTATGATTCAGTACGGTACGTGCTCATTGTTTAATTATACAATCATAGCCACTGTTCAATGAGCTGATTGCTCTTGTATTCCTATTTTTAGTTTGCGGTAATTTATGACAATGAGCTTTACCACGGACGTGTTGTTATGCACAAACTTGCTTCACTCTTTGAGACATCCTCTACGAAATTTCACCAAAGACGTTTTCAAGGACAGAGGAGAAGTGAGTTCATCTTAGCAAATGTTGCCATGACTCACAATTTAACTCGGATACTGAGCCAATAAATATAATAATTAAAATAGACGAAATCACAGGGAAACGAGTTATGAAGCAACTATCCACGACCGTTACAAAATAATAAGCAGTCTGGTCGTTGAATCGGTCTTAGTAAAATGTCAGTTTTGTTCCCTGTTATCGCACTTTCCGAAGGCTGACTGCTTATTGCCTTGTTACAGTCGTGGATAGTTGCTTCACAACTCGTTTCCATGTGATTTCGTCTATTTTAATGACTCACAATGCACATATTTCCCCTGCTTGGATAAAGTTGTGTTTCCTGAACATTCAGTGGGGAATTTCAAAAGATATTTTGGTCAAATTGAAACTCTTGACTGACTTGAGGTTAACAAATAATAATTCACCATTCAAACACGATAGTCACGGTATGCAGACACTCAGGGTGGCACTGCAATCTCCACATGAAGTTCAATTATAATTTTCTTAACAATTCATGTACGTTTTCACTTGTACAGTGTTATGTAGGTTGAAATTTCAATGGAGTCCAGTTCACTATTAATTTTGATGTTCTTCTATCTTGCAGGATATACGTGTACTTGTTTAGAAGTTTTTAGAACCATCATAGGGAATTCTAGTTGTGTAGGTTACCACCGATACAATGTGATCAATAGTTTCCCCTGAGGAACGCACAATGTCATGCAGCAGCCATTCGCCCCCCCCCCCCCCCCCTCCCACCCCAGCCTTACCGGTGACCTTGGCAAAACATACTTAGAATTGTCAAGACATGTCAATATAATTCAGTTCAAGACGTTTCTCAGTCTGATTAGGGCAAACTTCGTAAGGCAGGGAAGATGTTGCCTTTGGAATACAATGGGTTTTCAACTTGAAGTGAATTGTATGTCGCTTGGATCTATGGGAGAGCATAACCACTTCCACAAAAGATTATGATGATTTTATCACTCGCTTTGAATACTCGCCGAAACATCAATCAGTTGATTGCAGGAAACTGAAAATGACATAATACTAGTAGTAGGTCGTGGCTGATACATGGTACACTCGTGTAGCTATTCTGGTGTTCCGGGATCGTTGCATACGAAGCCTCAAGTACTAGTGAGATGGACACTAATTGCGTCAGGCACTGTGAGGGCACTACGAGATATCCGTAGCGTAATGGGTTCATTTCATGCACAGATAACATTAACAATAAGGCATTGTTCTGCAGCTGCACGGCTCACTTTAACCACTTGCATACTACCCCATGCTGTACTGGTACAGCTTTTCCACCCACTTTCCCCTTCTGCATATCAGAAGTGCGGGTGCTCTCGTTTTGCAGCCCACTACTACAGTACTAGTACTACTCGTACATAGTCTGTCATGATTGTGCATGTACTTGTAGTATTTTAATCAAGGCGAGTGTCCAAGCGCTGGGCCGCGGGGGATACATTGACGTCATTGACGTAATTGTAGTCTTGGGTATTCAGTACTATTCAGTATACCGGTACACGTCACTTGTTTTGTGTACAATCATAATTATAACTGTATGACTGACATATTAATAATTACACACGAGTCACAGAGTAGATCTACAACGCAATAAATAACTACATGTACACATTGCAATTTCAAATTTGGACTTCATGGAGAATTTCAAAGTTTTAGGAAATTAGAGGCCACATGCCACGTACATACTGCTCTTTTCTCTCCGAAACTCAACACTTGCAAACCAGATATGAAAGAAAGAAAAAATCATCAGTCACACCACCGGGACTCGAACCAGGGACCTTTAACCAGGCTCGCGAATAGCAAGGTCCCTGGTTCGAGTCCTGGTGGTGTGACTGATGATTTTTTCTTTCTTTCATATCTGGCTTGCAAGTGTGGAGTTTCGGAGAGAAAAGAGCATGTACACATTGTATCATTATTCATTGGTTTGAGTTAAAGATGCAAACGGGAAAACTCTGAAGAAAAAACTGACTGTCACCACCAGGACTCGAACCAGGAACTCTCGCTTGTAGCTAGCGATGCTCTAACCACTGAGCTATGCCTATGGTGTAGTCGTCATCCCATCAGAGACCGTTCAACATTTTCTTCAGACTTCGTATTTTTGTATTTATTCAACATTTCCTGGCTCGTCAAACGAGTGCCATTGTGCCAATGACAAACGGATGTGAAATGAAGGGTGATAGTCAACCACGGCATTGTAATGACTATGTTGGGTGATCCCAGTTCTGCAAGCTTACAATCATATGCTCAAGCGCAGAGCTCTGCCCTAGACTATGTCTTTTTCTCTTTCTTTGCTCACCTATTGCTCATCACTTCTTTTACAGATTTGGTATTATGGAAAGTTTGGAAACCCCCTCGATAGGCGAAAGCCTTTGGGGAATCCTTAAACAATAAAAAATTACAAATGGATGATCCTGCACCTAACCAAACCTCACCTTACTGTTTTCTGGTGATCGCTTAGTGCGTGAAACTCAGAGTTAGAACACTTTTTCCGTCCTCTTATTGTTTGAACTAGCTCTGCCTCTCGGTATTGAGCACTCTAGACACACTCTTGGACAGCCTGGAACCGTTCTGTTTTACAAACCTCACCCACATGACTGTATACAGTAAAGCGTGTGCGACGGACACGCTTTCCTTCCTCACTGGTTTTCTACTTTCTCACTTTCTCACCGTCAGAATGTTACTAACCTTGTAGTTAGTTCCACGGGACAGGAATTGCCGGCTGGTTTTAGTACCGGGCTTGTCTTGGACAACTACAGTCTACAGTTGCCATGTTCACTGCACCATCATAATAGAGACGTTAGGATGCACGTTACTTCTGACGTGACGCGAAAGTTCAGCTCGCGTGGCTCGCGTGTCGCGTGTCGAAAAACAACGCGAGTGACCTGCAACTCACGTCGAAAATTGGAGTTTTACGCCACATTTGACGTGAAAGTGCCCGTCACGTCGGATATAACGTTCATCTTACCCTCACATTGGCAATGAATGTATACTAGTATTGTGCACCATGTCCAACTATCAGCACAACGACATTCAGTTAGATTGTAGATGTCCACGTACACGTTACATCATGTACTAGTTACATGCATTCCATCTACTCTGCGTTCCTCCGAGTCCCCCATGCAACATCCTTTCCTTTCTTCTTTAAAGGCGATTGCCAGGAGCAGCTCCGGCACCTAAAATGGGGCCTGGACCAAATAGGCAGACACAATGTTTGAGGACATGACATGGCGCAAACTTTTATACGAGGGTTATGGAAGAACGATATCCTTCCAAATGAACTCGATCCTCAATACTCTGCCTTCGCTCGACAATCTAAGACGATGGGGCAACTCTGTTGTGGACCAGAGTTAGGCCCTGGTGGATAATGCTCGGAAAAGTAGCGTTTTCTGCTCGACATTCTACTCGTATTCTGCAGGTGTTCTGCCCCATTCTGCTCGTATTCTGCAGGATTCTCACGTGCTTGTGAACACAATGGAGCCGTAAATAGGCGCCAGCACTGCCCAGCAGCCCTCTCCGCACTTCGTAGCTGATTCTGCAGAGTATCTGCTCCTTCTTCTGCACTTTTCTGCCTGCTCATTCTGCTCCTTTTCTAAAATAAACCATATTCTGCTCGAAATTCTGCCGGCATTATCCGCCAGGGCCTAACCAGAGTTGCCCTTTTTGTCAGCGCACAACAACGCCCAGGCACATTCTCACCGCCTGCCCTTCCTCACTCCATCAAGGAAGGTACACGTGGCGCCATGACAACGTCCTGAAACAGATCAGTAAATTCATCACAGAAGTAATATCAGCAAAGCAAAAGTCGTCATCATGCATCCAGCACTAAGAATACCGAGCAAACTCCCACTAAAGGTACATACATTACCTTCTTGTTAGATTGACAGCATGAAACAAAGTGGAGGACACTGTGTTCGGAAACAGTGACCTTACTACAACCTTCCGCGGTTGGCAGATAGCCCTTTCTCAAAGGTGCTCTTTTAATTCGCACTTAGTGCTTTTCGCGTCCCTCAAAATATGCTGAAAAAGTGCTATTTTTTCAGTGAAAACAGGCAAAAATGCTCTTTTTTCAGTGAAGCATAGCCATGATACATGTTTAGATATGAACCCAAGATGAGAAAGGAATACGCACTCTTCCATTTATGGGTCCTAGAAAGGCAAACCAGGAAGTAAAGTTCAAAAAAACCCACTGTTTACAGCATTGTGTACACCGGGTACAAGCTTCACCAGCGTGTTACCCCCCAAAAAGCGGCGTACCAAGGCCCATCGCGATATCGAGCACTCGGAAACTGTGATCGTATGCATGAGTAAACACATTTTAGCACTTTTTCAGCTAAAAAAGCTCAAAAAGGGCGATATTCACCAAAAAACGCAATGAAGGGCGAAAGAAACGGGCTTTTCCAAAAAGGGTCAAAAAGGGCGAAAAAAAGGGCGAGCACCTTTGGGAAAGGGCTATTGGCAGAGCCCCAGTCCCTGCGGACCATTTGAACCATATGGGTATTGAACCCGGTTCTGACCCTCATTATGCTGGGGGGGGGGGGGGGGGGGGGTTGGAGACTACTCCTTACGTCCGTCGTGTATTCTTTGATCGCTCCTGGATGTCATCCTGGTAGTCATGTAGCTACTTAAACCTCAACTTATTTTCTTCCAACTTCTGCCCATGGCGTCCTTCTCTCAGCTCGTCAGCTGTCAACAGTTACTGCCACTACCATGACACTGTCGCGAGAAGGTACTCTCTCTATAGACGGGGTTGGTGATGTCCCGACGTGGCCATCACCAACCCCGTCTATAAAGAGCACCTTCTCGCGACAGTGTCATGGTAGTGGCAGTAACTGTTGACAGCTGACGAGCTGAGAGAAGGACGCCATGGGCAGAAGTTGGAAGAAAAGAAGTTGAGGTTTAAGGTGGCAGTTCCCCTTTTCCGTATACTACACTCTTTGGACCAGAAGTCATGAACA